AAAGTAAGTGTTTAATATGAGGCTACTTGAAAAATTTCATAGCAAATGGAAAAAAAATATAGGTTTAGGGGGGCTGTTGCTGTGATGAAATAAGCTAAGCCTCCACCTGCCATGCTGACATCCCATATGGGCACCGGTTTGAGTCCCAGGTGCTCCACTTCCAATCCAGCTCTCTGCTATGGCCTGGGAAATTAGTAGAAGATGGCCCAAGTGCTTGGGCCACTGAACCCACGTGGGAAACCCAGAAGAAGCTTCTGGCTCCTGGCCTCTGATCAGTCCAGCCCTGGCCATTGTGACTATTTGGGGAGTGAACCAGTGGTGGAAGACCCTTCTCTTGCCCTCTCCCTCTCCCTCTCCCTCTCCCTCTCCCTCTCCCTGTCTGTAACTCTACCTCTAAAATAAATAAAATATTTTTAAAAAGGTAAGTTTAGGGTCCAATGCTATAGCTAGTAGATTAAGCCTCTGCCAGCAGTGCTGGCCTTCCATATGGACACCAGTTGGAGTCTTTGCTGCTCCACTTCTGATCCAGCTCCCTGCTCATGGCCTGAGAAAGCAGTGGAAGATGGTCCAAGTGCTTGAGCGCCTGCACTCACGTGGGAGACCTGGAAGAAGCTCCTGGCTCCTGGCTTCAGACTGTCCCAGCTCCAGCAGTTGTGGCCATTTGGGGAGAGAACCAGCAATCAAAGCTCTTTCTCTCTCTCTCTCTAACTCTGACTTTCAAATAAATAAATAAATCTTTAAAAATAGATTTAACATACAAAATTAAGGTTCCATGTATTAAAAAATCATCAGTATGGAACGGTAAACTGAGGGAAAATTAATACTTACTATAAAAAAGGGATAACTGTTTAATTAATAATAAAATAGTTTTCCATTCACGCATTTGTCCAACAAACACATCTGAAAGCACTCCATACAATTCACGGAAAATGCATCATGTTAAGAAACTATGTATGGATTTCAACATTTTTGGCACCAAATTAATCTTTTAAAGATTTATTTATTTGTTTGAGGGGCAGAGTTCAGACAGATATGAGTGCAGGGGCCCAAGGACTCGGGCTATCCTCTGCTGCTTTCCCAGGCACATCAGCAGCGAGTAGATCGGAAGTAGGGCAGCTGGGGCTCAAAGAGCTTGCCTATATGTTATGCCCGCATTGCAGGCAGAGGCTTACCACACTATGCCACAATGCTGGCCCCCAGTTAAATCTATTAATCTTGACCTTTTTGGTTTCCTTAGTCAAACCAATGACTTAATAAGTAGTCCTTTCTAATTTCTACTAGTTTTGAATGGCTTGACATTCTTTAACATTATTTATATTAATTCATGTGAAAATTATTTAATTTCTGTTTAATCACAAAATTACTTTTTCTTATACAGAGGGCCCTCTTTCATAAATAATCTATTTCTGAAAGTGGGTTTACGGGTTCTAGTCCCGGTCAGGGCGCTGGATTCTGTCCCGGTTGCCCCTCTTCCAGGCCAGCTCTCTGCTGTGGCCCAGGAGTGCAGTGGAGGATGTCCCAAGTGCTTGGGCCCTGTACCCCATGGGAGACCAGGAGAAGCACCTGGTTCCTGGCTTTGGATCAGCATGGTGCGCCAGCCACAGCACGCCGGCTGCAGCGGCCATTGGAGGGTGACCAACGGCAAAGGAAGACCTTTCTCTCTGTCTCTCTCTCTCACTGTCCATTCTGCCTGTCCAAAAAAAAAAAAAAAAAATAAAGAAAGAAAGAAAAGAAAAAAGAAAAAGAAAAAAAGAAAAGAAAGTGGGTTTAAAAGCTGAATGTGTGAAAGCAGATTTTTCAATGTCCTAATTATGCTGTCCCTCACCCCAGCCCACCAGAAGGCCGCTAAGAACCTTCAGAGATGTGTAGGTCTGAACTAGAGGGATCAGCTAAGAGGATGCTGGAAGAGGAAAGGGTCCTTACAGTGTTCTGTTATTCCACACTATGCGTTGGTTGGATCAGGCATCTCCTTTTACCACATATTTTCTGCCATCTTCCATATTCCCCCCTTCACCACCAAATTGGTTTGTTTATAAAGGTAAACATATGAAAATGAAAAAAATATATTTTGATATTAAAGATACTAATGAATTTAGAAAACAGTTGCTGATATATATCTTTTATATAATAAACAAAATTATTTTAAAATTTAGGGGAAAATGGGTATATTTATATCAGAATATAACTTTAAAAATAATCAATTAAATCTACCATCAAAATGTTCCCTCTGTTTACTTAGAAGCTTAATAACTATAGCATGTGCCAAGAATTACAAAACAGAGGATCTATTAGCTCGAAGGCTACATAATCAATGCTGTAAAGACACTTCTGTTAGTGAATAAATGATGAGGCTTTACCAGAAAAGATGCGAAATCAACAGAAATATTTCACAAAATATACAGCTAAGAATGATCCTGGAATTCAATGATGATTTTCATAGTTTGTAAATGTTTTTAAAAGAGAGGGAATATGGGTTGGGTACAGATATATAACTATTTGACTAGCATTTTACAGATACCTTAGAGCTGAGATTTTGTTAAACTTGTCTGGAATTAGATTCTGTTGAAAAAGAGCAAAATAATAGTTTGCAAACTGCAGACCAGTTATTTGACTCTCTGATCCCTTTTTACTAAAAACACACAGACATACACACTTGCCCATGGGCACACTTAGACATGGAGAATAAGTGTAATCTGATAGAATATATGCCAAACTTTTAATAATGGTCACACTTCAAACATCAGAACAAGCTGATGAGAGGGGAGACTTCAACTTTACATCTTTGTGGTATTTGAATTTTTTATTCAATCAATGTAACTCACTCTCATAATTTAAATATACACATACACAAGTATACACATATACACAAATATATATATTTGGTAAAACAAAAACATGTACATGGCCGGCGCCGCGGCTCACTAGGCTAATCCTCCGCCTGCGGTGCCGGCACACCGGGTTCTAGTCCCAGTCGGGGCGTCGGATTCTATCCCAGTTGCCCCTCTTCCAGGCCAGCTCTCTGCTGTGGCCAGGGAGTGCAGTGGAGGATGGCCCAAGTGCTTGGGCCCTGCACCCCATGGGAGACCAGGAGAAGCACCTGGCTCCTGTCATCGGATCAGCGCGGTGCGCCGGCCGCAGCGCGCCAGCCGTGGCGGCCATTGGGGGGTGAACCAACGGCAAAGGAAGACCTTTCTCTCTGTCTCTCTCTCTCACTGTCCACTCTGCCTGTCAAAAAAACAAAACAAAACAAAACAAAACAAAAAAAACACATGTACATGTGTAAAGGTATATTTCTCTGTATAGTATCTCATAGAGAGGTTAAAAATGCTTTAAAACTATAATATATTCATGCTTTCTTATAAATTAGGGACCATAAATAAGACCCCTATGACCAATTTAACTGCATGAATTCTTCACTGAAAAGGCAACAAGGCTATTTTATGATGTCCCATAAATTCATTTAGAGTCCCTGAGTAGCAGATGTAGATTAACTTTTGTGCAGTCTCCATTGCAAACATGCACTTCAAAAACCACACAATCTTTAAAGTGTTCAGAAAGAAAATCTCATGCTATTGACTTTGCAGATTTGTTTCTGAAACAGGCATTCCTGTTGCATTAAACAAGTACAAATATTAGCTATTCCAGAGATGAGTTTTAGGGGAAGAAAAAAAACCTGTTTTAAATTGCTAGCTATGTTACTGTGTGGAATAAATAAAAAATTATTATAAAGAACTATATTTTGGTAACCCTGGTATTGGGCAAAAATAAAAAATAAAAGGTTTGTGCTATTTAAAGGGGTTCAAGATACAACACCATTGTTTTCTGTCTGAAATATGCCCATTTCAAAAATAAGGGAGGTTGGGGAAAGCATTGTGGCGCAGCAAGCTAAATCACTACCTGCAAGGCCAGCATCCCACATGGGTGGCAGCTCAAGTTCTGGCTGCTCCATTGCAGATCCAGCTCCCTGCTAATGTACCTGAGAAAGCAGCAAAAGATGGTCCAATTACTTGGGCCTCTGCACCCAGATGGGAGACCTGGATGAATCTCCTGGTTCCTGTCTTCAGTCTGGCCCAGTCCTGGCTGTTGCAGCCATTGGTGAAGTGAACCAGTAGATGGAAAATATCTCTGTTTTTCTCTGTACGTATGAACCCCTCTCTCTGTAATTCTGACTTTCAAATAGATAAAATAAATATTAAAAAAAAAAGAGGAGGTGTTAACAACAGATTTGCTACAGACACAGCAAACTGGATAGTGTAGCTTGTATCTACAGGTTTTCTGATCTTGAACCCCAGATTTAGGCTAATTTAACTCACATCATGAAAGGTAGCACTGGGCTTACACACGCTTCTCTCATGGAATGCTGCCACCATAAAATTTTAGGGATGGAGGAACGGAACAGAATTCATACTCCCAGAGGCAGGCAGATCTCCAAAAAGACAAGAAAAGGATGGGATGGCTCCAAATTACCCACTTCAGCCTTCCAAACTCACAGATTAAGTCACTCCTCCACACGTTGGGGGTGGGAGGAGAGCTGGAGGAGGCCATGAGGGTTAAACCAAGAATTATTAAGGTTAGACTAAAAATTATTATGGCTGGGACTGTGGCATAGTGGGCTAAGCCCTGGCTTGAAGTGCTGGAATTCCATATGGGCACCAGTTCGTGTCCCAGCTGCTCCTCTTCCGATCCAGCTCTCTGCCTTGGCCTGGGAAAGCAGCAGAAGATGACCCAAGTGCTTGTGCTCCTGCACCCACGTGGGAGACCCAGAAGAAGCTCCTGGCTCCTGGCTTTGGATCAGCTCAGGTCTGGCCATTGCAGCCATCTAGGGAGTGAACCAGTGGATGGAAGACCTTTCTCTCTGTTCCTCCTGCTCTCTGTCTGTAACTCTACCTCTCAAATAAATAAATAAAATTTTTTTAAAAAATTATTTTTTCTACATTGAAGAAAAAAAAATCAGGAGTGAAAGGAATTTCATTCCAAAGTAAAGCTATCATAATGGTCTGAATACATCATGTCTTTGAGAATAGCTGAGGAATATTTATCTTTTTTATCATAAAAATTCAATTACAAGTAGGCTTAATAACTGGAGTATATATGCATTGAAAAATCATATGCCCTTGACTGCACTAAATACAGACTCAAAGAAAGACAACAAGAAGTGGAGGGAGTTCCCAGTCTGGTGAGACAAGCTAGTTACATAGCTATTATAGAGCATGATTCATGATGCAACTGAACTGTAACACGTTTTCTGTGAGCACAGAAAATCAATCAGGAGAGGCATGTTAATAATTTATTACATTGGGGCCGGTGCTGTGGCTTAGCGGGTAAAGCTTCTGCCTGCAGTGCCAGCATCCCATATGGGCGCTGGTTTGAGTCCCAGCTGCTCTACTTACAATCCAGCTCTCTGCTATGGCCTGGGAAAGCAGTAGAAGATGGCCCACGTCCTTAGGCCCATGTACCCACGTGGTAGATCAGGAAGAAGCTCCTGGCTCCTGGCTTCAGATCGGTTCAGCTCCGGCCATTGCGGCCAACTGGGGAGTGAACCAGCGGATGAAAGACCTCTCTCTTTGCCTCTCCTCTCTCTGTGTAACTCTGCCCTTCAAATAAATAAATAAATATTTTAAAAATAATAATTTATTACATTTATTTATACTTGTATTTATTCAACACCTACTGTATACCAAGCTCTGTACCAAATTATAAATATACAATGATGAACAAAATAGACAACATCCTTCTTACTGAGCACTTTGTAGAGATAGGCATTAACAAAATAAGCATGTAAGTATATAGTTACAAATGGAATATGCGCTATTAGGGAAAATAATAAATATTACATAATTTAGATCACAGGGAAAGGGGAGACTTCTCTGAGAAAATATTCAGCTAAGGCTTAAAGATGGGGTATGTCCCGCTAGGTTGGAGATAGGTAAACAGATAATTCAGGGTGAGGGAAGGCCTATACAAAGGTATCTAGGTAAAATAAAACTTGGTTAATTGGAGGAACAGAGTAAGAAGGAAACCATGGTTTAAGACAACATCAGGAAGCTGTCCAGAGGCCACACTTCGAACAGTTATGTAGTCTACATTGAAAACTTCAGGTTCTTCTATGTTTAGCAAAGCCACGAGTTTATCAAGCAAGATAACACAATTCACTTTACAATGTATTGGATGATGAGAGAGAAGAAATGAGACTGTTACTGAGGTCCAGGTGAAAGTAGATGGTGGCTAGAACCTGACAGAAGCAATGGACATAAAGAAGTGCAAAGATCCAAGAAATGTTTTGGAGATAGAAGCAACAAATCGTAGTGATGAACTGGGGGTACAGCAATCATGATGGGATTTGTGATATGTCAAAAATGTCTGTTAGAGATAAGACACGCGATACTCAGAAAACATGACTGGAGAGCTGGTCCTTGAAGATAAGCTGAGTCTTGGCTGAAGGCGATCAAAGAGACAAGGACACAGAGTGTGAAGAGCTCAGTACTATCTGCTGTACTCAGATGTGATGGTCTTGGAAATATTTGTTGTGGATAAAGGGACTACTGCACTGTTTTTCCTATACATACCCACCTATGATAAAGTCTAACTCATAAATTAGGCATAGTAGGAATTTATCAACTGTTAATAACAAAATAGAACAATTATAACCATAAACTGTAATAAAGTCATGTGAACCTTGTCTCACTCTCTAGAAAAAGTCAAGAAAAATATGAACATTTTTGGCTCCAGCTGACCGTGGTAACTGGAACTACAGAAAGCACAGCTTCAGCTAAGTGGGTCCTACTGTAGAAACCACAAGCTCACAGAGATGAACGATGTCAAGGCTTCTTTTGTAATTGTTTTACACCTGGTTAAAGTTTAATGAGTAGAATTATGATATCCTCAAAAATAAAACTGATTCTTCCCAGGGAGAGATTTTGTCATACCCCTACCCCTGTCCCTGGAGACATTTGGCAATGTCTGGAGATATTTCTGGTTGTCACAACTTAGGGGTGGAGGTGCTACTGTCATCTGGTGGGTAGAAGCTAAGGATGCTACTAAACATCTTACAGTACAGAGGTCAGACCCTCAAAATACAGAAAAATCTGGCCTAAAATGTCAATAGTACCAAATTTTAAGAAGCCCGCTATAAAAATAATACCTACTGCAGTACAAGTTAAACCTGAAAATTAAGAAAAATGAAACTAATATAGAATTCACTATAAATTTAAATACATACATTTCAAAAGACTATTATATTCCAAATTTTAAAAATAAAAACAACTTAATTTTTGGTCTTCATGAAGTTGAATAAAAGTTATATCATTTCTTGCCATCCTTAGCTTCTCGTTATCACACTAATTATAAGGTTGATGATATTCTTCCCTAAAATATTTACATTCAATAATTTCACATTTAGGAAAAACCTTTATGAAACATAATAGTGAAAGTGCACATATTAAAAGAGTGGGAACTGATAAATATTGACATTTCATTTAATTAAACTGCTAAAATGCAAACTAAGTACACAACTGATGGTTCTTTCCATGCAAATTTCCAGTGTCATCATGGGCGAAGGAAAAAGCATACCTGAATAAACTTTGTGTGCTTTACTTAACTCAGACCTGATTGATAAACTCACAAAATCTAGAGTTCCCACTGGAATCCTTTATGGTATAGCATAATGATACCAATGGACATTACCATTTTAAAAAGTGTAAAAAAAAGTCAATGAACGATTATCATTACTGAAACTCATTCTAATTCACACACATCATCCAAGAGATTGATATTTTATGCTTATAAAACCTAACATAAAATTAAATTGAAAATTTTGCCTGACAATCTACAAAAATTTTGGGCTAAGGTAATACACTGCTAATATGCAGCATTTGTTCAGCTCTAGTGCACATATTTACTATGATTTATAGGAAAGAAGGCTTCATTTGCTTCTTCACAGATTTGGTAATGATATTCCTTTTCTTATACTCATGCCTAGAAAGTATAAGAACTTCTTTAAAAGGAAGGAACGAATATAATACTAAATTACTGATAAATAAGTCAAATTTAAAAACTTGCAGTCTTTTCTTGTTACATTTATCACTATGTAATTTCAAACAGCAGTTATTATTTCATTATTCAAATGCATATAAAGCAGCTAAATATTCCATACAGAAAATACATTTGCATTATTTAGGAATAAAATCATAATAACAAATTATGAATAAAATATTAGAGTGTGATTTTTCCCGGGAATCTAAAAATATTAAAAATAATTTCAATCACCCCCCCTCCAATTAGGAATGACACAAAGGAGAGTTGTCTTATCTACTGGGATTTGATTAACACTGAGTTCTTGAAATACAAGACAAGACAAAATTGATTTCACCATTATCAACTCAATGCATTGTGATCTTCAGTTTCTAGCCAGTGAAGTGTTTGCTTATAAGCATGTTTCAAAGTAAAGTAATCATGCCTTCATTTGGAACTTTTTAAAAAATATATCTGTGCTATTGTTTTTATTCTGCCACCTACTTAACTTGAAAAAATTACCAGATTTTATACCAACATATAATAAGAAACTTACCTCAGGCATTCAGCATCATTTTGAGGCTTTTCATTGATTTTTATCTTTTCTGCCTCTAGGTATTTAGTAGTATGGATGGCTTCATTCTCTTCATCTTCAAAACCTAAACAATTAAGAAAATTCTTAGAAAATTGAACAAATATTTATTCACTCAGAACAACACTCTAATTTTTCGTGCTTCTATGTAAAATGTACATACTAATGATTTCTCTTTTCTACTTTAATATAGCAATTAAAGACACAAAACATTCTAAAATTTTCTGCTATTAAGAATACCAGCTCAACACTCTGGCCTCAGAATCAGCCCGTAAGGCATTCGCATCTGGCTGAAGAGCCCATGAGAGTATTTTAGGCATGGAAAGCCAAGACACTCTGGGGGAAAAAAAAAAAAAAAAAAAGACCTAAATGAAAGATCTCTATGAGTGAGATCCCAATGGAAAGAACGGGGTCATCAAAGAAGGAGGTACCTTTCTCTGAAGGGAGGAGAGAACTTCCACTTCGACTATGACCCTGTCTGAATAAGATCGAAGTCGGCAAACCCAAAAGGCTTCCATAGCCTTGGAAACTCATGACTAGAGCCTAGGGAGATTACTGACGCCATAAACAAGAGTGTCATTGTTAAGTCAACAACAGGAGTCACTGTGTACTTACTTCTCATGTGGGATCTGTCCTTAATGTGTTGTCCAATGTGAAGTAATGCTATAACTAGTACTGAAACAGTATTTTTACACTTTATGTTTCTGTGTGGGTGCAAACTGATGAAATCTTTACTTAATATATACTGAATCCATCTTTTGTATATAAAGATAATTGAAAATGAATCTTGATGTGAATGGAATAGGAGAGGGAGTGGGAGATGGGAGGGGTGCGAGTGGGAGGGAAATTATGGGGGGGGGAGCCAATTTAATCCATAAACTGTACTTTGGAAATTTATATTTACTAAATAAAAAAAATACAAAAAAAAAGAATACCAGCTCAAAAAATATCAGCTCTAATACTGATTCTATGTGTTTTATATATTCCTTTCTTATATCAATAGTAATATGACATCCCATTGGGTTAACACATTTTGAAAGAATATGATCCTATCATGTGCATATAACTGTATCAGTAAAATAAACTAATTCATGAAAGCAAAACCTTTAAGTTTTCTCTGAAGAGTAAATAATTCTTCAATCAATTCCCTCTTTTGTTTCTGAAGTTCATTTAACTGGCCACTATCACGTTCCACTGACTTCATTTCTAGAAACAAATTTGATAGCATAAAAATATATGAATAAATTTAATAAAAGAGGTGAAAGATTTGTACACTAAAAACTGTAAGACATTGATGAAATCAAAGACACAAACAAACGAAAAGATATCCTTTGTTCATGGGTTGGAAGATTTAATACTGTTAAAATGCCTATACCACCCAAACCTATACACAGATTCATCTCAATGCCCATCAAACACAGATTCATCTCAATGCCCATCAAAATTCCAATGGCTTTCGTCACAGAAATAAGGGGGAAAAAAATCTAGAAACAAAGAAGACAGTATTGTAAGTATTTTTTCTTTGCCTTAAATATGTTAGCAATCATTACCCTTTTCTCATGTAGTAAAGATTTAAGCAGTATATGGTCAATTTTAAGCCCCATTGGCTTCCGTTGATCACCTAGGAACTGATATTAATAAACTGTCCAGAACTTGTTACTCGCCAACTAGATACAAAAAGGAAAGTTAATTGAGGTTAGGCTACCAAAAGAGAATTCAAACATGCTATCACTAAAAAAAAAATAAACTTCCTAATGAGATAAGAAAACTCTATTCTTTAAAACCATAGCACATTTTAAATGGCATTGCATGGTTCTCATTAAATGGCTCTAAGCTTTCACAATATTGATAATACTGTTTCTTCAGCCTAAAATGTCCTTTCTCCCTTTATTTCCACATTAACTATAATCTGTTCTTTAAGATTCATCTCCTATTTTTTAAAATATTTTTTGTCTTCAACCAAAACTTCTGGAACTTCAACTATACAAACATGTGTTAGAGTATGTAATATTTTGCCAGAGGTCTCTGATTTCTTTAAAGAAATCTATTTATTTATGCATTTACTTGAGAGGCAGAGAGGGAGAAAGAGAGAGAATGCTCCCATCTGTTGATTCACTTTCCAAATTCCTGCAGTGGCTAGGACAGGGCTGGATGAAGCCCACAGCCACAACTCAATCCAAGTCCTCCATGTAGGTGGTAGGAATCCAACTCCTTGAGCTATCCCTGCTGCCTCTCAGGGTCTGCATTAGCAGAAAACAGGAGTCAGGAGGTGGGGCAGGTTATCAAACACACATACTCCAACATAGGATGCAGATATCTTTGCTGGTATTTTAAGTGCTAGGTTAAATGTTCAACCCTAAGGAGATTTTAGTTTCTTTGAAGTCTTTTATATCCTTCAGTATTAATTTTTAATGCTGTCTTTTAATGGTTACTGATATTTTCTTCGCTGTGTTTATCTGCTATTAATCTCTTCCCCACTGCACCACAATATCCGCCCTTCCCATTTTTCAATTGGTTAATTACTGTTGTTGTTAGTGAATTCTTTTAGTTCTCAAGTTCTCATTTATTCTGGATATTGATCCACTCTGGATAAAGAATTTACAACAATTTTCTATTTTTTTAAATATTCACTTTATTTATTTGAAAGAAAGAGTTATAGAGAGTGGTAGAAACAGAGAGAGGAGTCTTCCACCTGCTGGTTCACTCCCCAGATGGCCACAACGACCGGAGCTGCGCTGATCCAAAGCCCGGAGCCAGGAGCTTCTTCCAGGTCTCTCACTTGGGTGCAGGGGCCCAAGGACCTGGGCCATCCTCCACTGCCATCCCAGGCCATAGCAGAGAGCTGGACCAGAAGAGGATCAGCCGGGACTAGAACCGCTGCCCACATGGGATGCCGGCGCCTCAGGCCAGGGGGTTAACCCGCTGCACCATAGCATTGACCCAGCCTTTCTAGTCTTAATGTCTTTTCCTCCCTTGCTTATTATAATGGCTAGGACATTCAGAACCATAACAAACAGAAGTAGTAAGAATGGGCTTCCCTACTTTAGTACCAATCTTTGTGGGAGAGTATTTAATATTTCACCATTATGAACGATGATATTCAGTGTATCACAAGTAAGTATAATGTTAACTAAAGGTTTTTCACATAGGGTCATTATCAGACTAAAGAAATGTCCTTCTATTTCTAGTTTACTGAGATTTTTTGTTCAATTTTGATTTATTTTTGTTTTAACTGAAAGAGCGATCGATGCGCAGAGACACACAGAGGTAGCACATCTGCTGGTTCACTCTCCAAATGCCGCAATAGCTGGGGCTTCGCTAGGATGAAGCCAGGGACTCAGTCAGGATCTCCCACACGGGTGCCAGCGACCCAAATACTTGTCCCCATCATCGGCTGCCTGCTGGGGTATGCATTAACAGGAAACTGAAACTGAAGCAGAGCCAGGACTTGAACACAAGCACCCCAGTATGGGATGTTTGCATCCCATGCAGCGTCTTAACTTCTAGGCCAAAGCCCACATCTGAGAGTTTTAGTCACATATGGGTGTTAGATTTTGTAAAATACTTTTCCTACATTTATTTAAATAGAAATGTATTTTACTCTCTATGTTTAAATGTCAAACCAATTTTTAAATGTTAAATAAACTTTGTATTCCTGAACTGAAATCGACTTGGTCATTATATATATTATCATTTTAGAATTTTTGTTGAATTTTATCTGCTAACATATCATTAGGGTTTTTATGTATGTATTCATAAGGGATGTATGTCTATAGTTTTCTCAGAATGTCTATCTGGTTTTAGATTAAGGTAATTCTGGTTTCATAAGATGAGAAGGGTTCTCATTGTAGTCAGGCTTCTCCAGGGAAGCCAGACTAACCACATGTATCTCTGTATGTATAAAAATACACATACAGATTTATTATAAGGAATGGGCTCAAGCAAATATGAAGACTGCCACTTCTCAAGATTTGCAGCTGACGAGCTAGAGGCCCAGGAGAGCTGATACTGGAGCTCCGATCTGAGTGTGAAGGCCTGGGAATCAGGAAGGCCAATGGTGTAAATTCAGTTCAAAAGCCAGCAGGCTTAAGATCCGAAAAGAGCCAGTTTCAGTTTTATCCTACACCAGAAAAAGACCAATGTCTTAGCAAAAGTAATCAGGCCAGAGGAGCTGTCTCCTGTTCACAGAAGGGTCAATTTATGTTCTAATCAAAGCAACAAATGATGAAGCTGAGGGTCACCCACCCTAGTGAGCTTTACTCAGTCTATTGTTTGAAATGTTAATTTCATTTAAAAACTCCCTCACAGACACACCTAGAAAAATATCTGAACAAGTACTGAGGACCTCATGGGTCACTGAGGTTATTACATAACATTAACTGTAACTGTCATCTTCTATTTTCTAAACGCGTTTGTGTTGACTGATTTTTAGAATACACTAGTGATATTCTCTGCATAATTTCTTTGAGGGAATATGTTTAGCCATGAATTCAATTTTTAAATAAATATGGGGATATCTTTTTCTTTTTGTCTGAACTTTCAATAGCTTGGTATTTCAAGGAATTTATCCATTCAATTGAGGCTGTCAAATTTGTGAACACAAAGTAGTTCAACAGTGTCTTGTTATCTTTGTAATGTCTTTAGGGATTAGTAACTATAATCTCTTTCAATGGTGGTATAAATGATTTACATTTCTTTTTTTCTTGAACCTTATAGTTAGGAATCTGTTCCATTGATTGCTTAAATGAAGTTTTGGCTTTATATATTTTTTCTATTTTTTTCATTTTCATATTTGCTTTATTTTTTAAATTTACTTCTCTGTTTAGATTTATTTGCTCTTATTATTCTAGCTTCATCATGTAAAATGTCTTATCAATGATCTTGGAGTTTTCTTTTTTACTAGTATAAGCATTTAAAACTACCCATGAACATCAAAGCACTGTTTTAACTATATCCTACAAATTAATATGCTGATTTTTACACTACCAATCAGTTACAAATATTTTCTAAATTTTCTATTTCACTTCTGGTCCATGAATTATTTATAATTGTGTTGCTTAATTTCCAAATATTTAGGGTTTTGTTGGAAATTTATTACTGAATTTCAATTTATTCTTCTTCTAGTTAGAGAACCACTATGTATGAGTTTAATCTTAACTTATTATGAATTGACATATCTTCATTATAAATTTCCCATTTATCAGTGGTAATATTATTTATTTTTAAACTCCGTTATATTTGGAAGTAACATAGCCCCTTTAGCCTTTCTGTGGTTACTGTTTACTTGGTATATCTTTTTTCATCCATTTTTTTCAACATTTTTTGTAACTTTTTCTAAAGATTTATTTATTTATTTGAAGGGCAAAGTTACAGAGAGGCAGAGGCAGAGGGGAGGGGGGGAGAGAGTTTTCCATCTGCTGGTTCACTCCCCAGATGGCCGCAATGGCTAGAGCTGCACCAATCTGAAGCCAGGAGCCAGAAGCTTCTTCTGCGTCTCTCTAGCAGGTGCAGAGCCCCAAGGACATGGACCAGCTTCCACTGCTCTTCCAGGCCATAGCAGAGAGCTGGACTGGAAGTGGAGCAGTGGGACTCAAACTGGTGCCCATATGGGATGCCGGCACTGCAGGCGGTGGTTTTACCCACTATACCTCAGCGCTGGCCCCTCAACATTGTAACTTTAAGTCTCTTTAGACTCTCTTCATGAAGGTATACATTTGAGTCATTCTGGTAATCTCTGCCTTAAATTATGATTAACTCAATAACAATTAATGAAATTATTGATATAGGTGGATTCAGGGCTACTATTTTATTACCTGTTTCTACCTTTTCTCTGTGACTTTTGTTCCTCTATTCCCCTTTTTCTGCTTTCATTCAGATTATATAAACATTTTTTAAGAATACTCTTCGGCCGGCGCCACGGATCAATAGGCTAATCCTCTGCCTGTGGCGCTGGCACACTGGGTTCTAGTCCCAGTCGGGGCACTGGATTCTGTCCCTGCTGCTCCTCTTCCAGTCCAGCTCTCTGCTGTGGCCCGGGAGTGCAGTGGAGGATGGCCCAAGTGCTTGGGCCGTGCACCCCATGAGTCTTACCAGTAAGAAATGACTTGAGATCCACAGCATTCTTAGGAAATCATGATCTAAAAAACCTAGGACCCTTTACAAAGACCTCAGAACAATACAAAGTAAAGCCTGAGAGAGCCATTAAGTCAAACTACAGGTATTAACAAACTTAGGGATAGTGACTCAGCAGTTTCAACAGAAGCCCAAAGAAGAAAAATCTTATAAAAGTACTCAAAATGCTTGTGGAAAAATGGAATTATAAGAAAAGTTTACTTTGGTGTAAAAAATATTGAAAATCTTGTATAGTTTATACACATTTAACAGAACTTTCTGAAGATCTCTCAAATCTCAAAAGATCTGGAGTTGCAGTTTTTGCTTTAACAGAATCAACCATTGTAAGATTCCTGTGAAACTCACAAAGTCTTTAAGAGACCTGTATTTGCATAACCATAGTAAACTTGGATTGAAATGAGTACAAACAGTACAACATGAAAAAGGAGCCCTTGAATATTCAAACTTCTTCAAGACAGAAGCAGACTGAGGAAAGGAGCAGTGGAAAACACATATCTTTATTTTTATACGGAATGGCTCACGAATGGAAGCAAAAGCAAGAAGGTGGAGCCAAGAGCATTTGAAAATCATTCCCAGGTGGGAGGATAGCCAGTACTAATCAAGACATTTCCATTTCTGCCTGGCTGGATTTCAGAACTGCTATGGATAAATGACCCCTGTGTCTATCCTGTTTTTCCTCTTTGTGATATATGCCTATCTTAACACAGTATGTTGTTAGGTGAAAAATAACTAGTTTATTTAGAGGTCTTCAGGTCAAGAGGAAATATACTCAGAGTTACATAAGGAACTACATTCAGGAAGGCCCATCTGCAACTGAACCTGATTTAGATGAGAAGATACTATAAGCTAATGCTATAATAGAATCTCTCTCTCACTCTCGCTTTTTTTTTTTTTTTTTTTTTGGACAGGCAAAGTGGACAGTGAGAGAGAGAGACAGAAAGAGAGAAAGGTCTTCCTTTGCCATTGGTTCACCCTCCAATGGCCGCCGCTGGTGCACTGTGGCCATAGCAGAGAGCTGGACTGGAATAGGGGCAACTGGGACAGAATTCGGCGCCCTGACGGGGACTAGAACCCGGTGTGCCGGCGCCGCAGGCGAAGGATTAGCCTATTGAGCTGCGGTGCCGGCCTATAATAGAATCTTAATGTATAACAGAAAATGTGGTTTATCTTTGATTTTTCTATTTCTATATTCATTAATCAATAACAAAAACCTGTTATTCTCCCTAAATATCTCTGTAAGTTATTCCCTCCTCTCTTTGGTAACTGCTTTAATTTAGTATCTTGTTATAGACTGCAATTACCTGCACATTAGTATTTCTGAAATGAAACTCTCCCCACCTGACCGGGTAACCTTATTTCCTAAGCTTATACTGGATTGATGATAAAAAGAGGTTCATAGCAACTGTCCTAACCCTTATGGTAGATTCCATGACATTGTACTGTAAATGTCTGCTTACATACTTGCTTCCTCCATTTTTTAGTTTCACATCCCAAGGACCTAAAACAGTGCCTACCTCATAACAGGTAGTAAACAGCTCTCAACTTATTGAATGAATAACCAAATGCTGATGTCACATGTAGTTCTAAAGAATTTGAGAGTGTTTACACTAAAAGAAATACATACATTCGGACAATTAAGATAAAAGTGAAATAATAGCTATACAATAACCCAATCTGCTTATGAAAAAGTTAAAATTATTGAAAAATTCATTCATCCAAAGTCAGTTACTTTAATTAATATCAGACAAAAGAAGTGGTACTATGTGGTTCATACCCCTTTTCAAAATGTTTGCCTGGTTTTCTAAGACAGATATTTCAATCCTGACGTTTTCTTTCATCAAAAGCTCTCTTTTCTTTGTTATTTCATATTCATTATTAAAATCTGTAATTTCCTTAAGAAATTTATCCTCCTCCTCTGTCACTGCTTTTTTTGTACTCTCCTGAAAAACAGAAATAAAAGATCAAATGTAGGTGCTAGTTACAATAATATTTTTCTTTAATTATTTAAAATATAATAATTTAGAATTATTAAAAACAAAGTATAAAATTTTATTTCTTAACATTACCTTTCCATTAATATTAACAAAAAACTGAAACATGAGAATCAACTATCTTTAAAGATTTATGCTAAAAGTTTTTAGAGAATTACTAAGAAAGAATTCATAACACTCTCCAGCTCTCTGCTGTGACCTGGGAAAGCATTAGAAGATGGCCCAGGTCTTTGGGCCCCTGCACCCACATGGGAGACCCGGGAGAAGCTTCTGGCTCCTCGCTTCAGACTGGCACAGCTCTGGCCATTGTGGCCAATTGGGGAATGAACCATCGGATGGAAGACCTCTCCCTCTCCCCTCCCCCCCTTTTCTCTCTGCCTTTCCTTTCTCTTTGTAACTCTGTCTTTCAAATAAATAAATAAATCTTTAAAAAAAAATTGGGGCCGGCACTGTGGTGCAGTGGGTTAACACTCTGGCCTGAAACGCCGGCATCCCATATGGGCGCCGGTTCTAATCCTGACTGCTCCTCTTCCAATCCAGCTCTCTGCTATGGCCTGGGAAAGCAGTAGAAGATGGCCCAAGTCCGTGGGCCCCTGCACCCATGTGGGAGACCCGGAGGAAGCTCTTGGGTCCTGGCTTCGAATCAGCACAGCTCCAGCCGTTGCAGCTAATTGGGGAGTGAACCCTCAGGTGGAAGACCTATCTCTCTCTCTTTGTCTCTCCTCTCTGTGTAACTCCGACTTTCAAATAAATAAAATAAAATCTTCCTTTAAAAGAAAAAAGGACAGCAGCAACCAACTGAAATTAGCAGCCACTATATTAAAAAAAATCATATCACTCATTATTAACTATATATTTGCATATTAAAACTCATATATGACATTTTGTCATTATGATATAAAACTGGGTGTTAAAATAATTAAATGATCAAACTGGAAAATTAAAATCTATACTCAAGGGAATTACTGCTTTATAGAAAAACAAAATCAGGTATCTAAGGTAAACTTTAAATTTATTTATTGTAGTTATTTGAAAAGAGGAGAGACATACACCAGTGGCAGGGGATGAGAAGAGGAAGACAGACAGAGATCTCCTAATCACTAGTTTATTCCCCAAGTGCCCGTAACAGCCAGGAATGGGCCAAGCCAGGAGCGGCGAGCAGGAGCAGAGCTGGGACTTAAACCCAGCCACTCTGATGCAGAATGTGGGAATCCCAGCACCATCTTAGCCACTACCCCAAATGCCCATACCCCAAGGAAACCTTTCAAGATGTAGATAATGAAGGCAAAATTATAGATCCATTTCAAAATCACTTACAAATAATAGTTTACATTTTATTAAATATCAATAAGGCATGGAAATAAGAATTTCCAAAAAAATTCTGGATAATGCAAAACCCTACATTTTTTTTCACAAAGCTAGATATTATCACATTTTTTTCCATTTTTTCTAAAAGATGTCAACTAATCATGAGCCACATTCAGAAACTAGCCATGTCATTCAAAATCAAGTTTGTAGATTTTGATTTTCAATATGTATATTTAATATCTTTAAATATATTTTCTTTAAATGTCGATTACATGTCGTCATATTTCTAATCTGGCTTTGTCAGTCAAAACTGATGCTCAGTTCGCTGGCTCTGACTCAAGAAAAAAGAATAAACAAAATCCATTATTTTCCCACATTCATAAATATGCGTAAAGTGTGAAAAGCATTAAAACAAACCAAGTTCTAAAATCCAGAAAATTTCAAAATCAGCTTCACTGTTTTTTAATGCAAATAATTCCTACATCACATCCCTGCCAATAGAATTATCTCAAACTATATTACTTTGTCAATTGATTTTAAATAGCACTTAATACTTTTCTGTAGATACTGAACAGTACTATCTGCCAATATGCATATGGATAATTTTCTGAAAGTACACCTAACTATATTAAAATACTTTTAAACACAGTTATTAAATGGATTTTTCTAAGTGGCTGGAGACTTACAAAGGTTTGGAGAAGCATATTCCTTTGGTTTGTAATTTCACTGCATTGTCTTTCTAAAGCATTTTCATGAGTTTTCAAAAGCTGTAAGAGGAAAGATTTTTCAGAAAACTGCTGAACCTTCAAAGTAAAAAGAAACAAAATGCAGAATGAAACAATTAGACATTTTATTTTAGAGTGTCTTAGTCAATAGAACAGATTTATAAAACACTTTCAGTATTAATTTTAACCTATAAAATAACATTCACATTAAATATCTTACTTTATATGCAGTATCATATAATATTTTATAAATGCCTTATTTTTACAATTTTATAATCTCTCCCCTTGGGAAGACTATCAGCTCCTCAAGGGCAAAGACCATGTTTCTCCACACCCAGCACAGTTCTTAGCTTAGGAACTAAGCTATTAGACTAAGCACACTGAAATCTACTTCAAAATAGTTTGTTCTAAAAAATAAGCTTCTATTCATATTACTTATAAGGAAGACATGGACAAATAAGTCATTTACACAATATGATTAGTAAGTTCATGAGATAAAACCTACAAACTACAGGCAAAAAAAAAATCAGCCACATGATTACATCAAATAACATACAAATCTGTTAATGCCCTTCAATACAGTTGGAGAACACATTTTTTAATGCCTCACATGGTTATAAATAACAAAGTATATAATAAATATTAATTTGTTCTTTAAAATATACTATCTCCTAAAACATAAAAATTGAAACATAAGCCAGGAAGCTTGAAAAGATAAAAACCAAAAATTATGTTGGACAGGTAATCTTTCTACTACATTCAGTACTATCCCTCAAAAAAAAAAAAAAAATCACTTCCAGTTGGGGTTGTTCCCATCTCTACAGAGAAAAGAAAAAGGATATAAATTCAACTTAAATTGCAGAAAGCAAGATTTATGTTGGTTATAAGAACTTCCTCAAGGTGAGAAACAGGTTGTGAAATCTCTGTCCCAGAAGATATTGAATAGTAAAGAGCTTAGCAATAGTCTAGTCCAGAGGCAAAGGGTTGGCTGAAAAGACATTTTGAAATATTATAGCTGAAAAATTCTAGAAATATTGGCATTAAAAAAGGAGCCAAAATAAAGCAGAAAATATGATCTTAGATTTATATAAGATCATAGCACATCTGCACACACCTTCAGTGCTGTTCTTACCAGCCCTATTTTAAGAAAGACATCAACAGAGAAAGATTAGAGAAGTACAATTTACATGACCAAAGGAACTGAGACAAACTGGGGGAGAAAAGATGGATTAGTCAGTATTTTACTGTGTAGCAAGGAACAAATTATAAAACATATGGCCAACTCTATAAAATCATATAGAAATTGACAAGGGCAGAAGAAGAGTATGATCACAAATTCTATTGTATTTATTTAGAATAAGAAAACTCTTTAGGACTACTTAGTGCTTATTATATAAATAAGGATAAAATGAAGTCCAAAGAAGTTAAATACTTCAACAAAGGTAACATACTAATTAGGAGCAGACCCAGAAATAAAATTCAGGGCTTCTGTCTTCCTTTCTTCTAAGCCATGAGATTATACGGAAATATTAGAATGATTTCAAAGTAAAAAAAAAAAAAAAAAGTAATTCTAGATCCTAAAAGGGACTTCAGCCTCTGATAATAGTATTTGAAAGTACGTAAGCTTAAGAAACATTTAGGAACATTGTGTCTCCTAGGGTCACCAGAGCTTATTAAGAAGGTTGTTTGCAGTAAACACCTCTAGGGTTACCACTTTGGACAGGAACCATGAATGCCCACAAAAATGCTTCAGAGACCAAATATTGGGCTGAATAAACTTTAGTTTAACTACTAAGGCATTTCAAGTATCCTGCCCTTCAGAACAAACTTCCTGAATTCTAATTCTCTTTCTGCCACTGATTTGTTATGAAAGATCTTTGTCAAAATCTAAAAGTGGGGGCCAGTGCTGTGGCTTAGTAAGTAAAACCACTACCTGCTGCGCCAACATCCCTTGTTGGTACTGATTCCAGTCCTAGCTGCTCCAGTTCCAAAGCAGCTCCCTGCTAATGTGCCTGGGAAAACAGTGGAAGACAGCTATTATGTCCATTTGGAGAGTGAACCAGAGGATGCATGATCTCTCTCTCCTTCACTCGCTCTCTGAAACTCTGCCTTTCAAATAAATCAATCTTTAAAAAAAATTCCAAAAGTGAAGAAAATATTACCTATCAAATAAACAAAATTTTAACTGAGACAAATTTATTAATAAAATTCAGAAAAATCTTCTGCTAAGGACTCAGAAATTAAGGTACTTGTTTCAGCTATCACTAACTCAGAGCTAAAATTACAGTGAGTTAAAATAACAAATATCCAAGAGAGGCAAATGTCATAAATAGCATTTAACTAAAACATTTTCTCATAAGTTGAAAAATAAAACCTATATACCAAAAATTAAAAAGTAGACAACTATTCAAAAGATTCATAAAAAGGACATGCCTATAATTTTCCTCTCCCCTAAAATTCTATGTAAATTATCCATTTTGTGGTCTTCCCTGTTTCTATTTTTAGTCTCTAAAAATGTCTGAGAGACTCAGATAACAGTAACACTAATTTTAAATTTTACTTAGGATCTGTTATAGAGTGAACAGGATTTGGACACCCAAACTCAAGCAGATGTTTAAAGCCCAAAGTCTAGGCGCAGGGCAGGGAGGGGGGTTGTTGTCCCAAGATGGCAGTATAGTAACAGGATGAGCTGAGTCACACAGGGGAAAACAGACAGTTAAAAAGGAAAGATATGGCCAGCCGGTGCCGCAGCTCACTTGGCTAATGCTCCGCCTGTGGTGCCGGCACCAGGTTCTAGTCCTGGTTGGGGCACCGATTCTGTCCCCATTGCTCCTCTTCCAGTCCAGCTCTCTGCTGTGGCCCAGGAAGGCAGTGGAGGATGGCCCAAGTGCTTGGACCCTGCACCTGCATGGGAGACCAGGAGGAACCACCTGGCTCCTGGCTTCAGATTGGTGCAGCACCGGCCATAGTGTGCCAGCCCTAGCGGCCATCTGGCGGGTGAACCAACGGGAAAAAGGAAGACCTTTCTCTCTGTCTCACTCTCTCTCACTGTCTAACTCTGCCTGTCAAAAAAAAAAAAAAAAAAAAAGGAAAGATACACTCTGGAGACAGATCCATGGGAAATTCGTGACAGGAAGCCCAGGAGACCAACAGAGACTGGGCAGGTCCATACTGAAACAGCAAATAAGAAAGGGAAGTGGCAGAGGCACAGAACAGGGAGGCTGGTGCCAACCCAGAGCAGCCTACATTAGACGGGAAATTGTGAGTCCATGGAGCTGCAAACAGCAGTAGGATGGGGATCTTGGTGAACTGCTAGTGAAGTTCCATGCTGGAAAATAAGAGAGGTGTATAGAGGAACAAACAGAGATGTCAGGCACCCCTGCCCATCTCTGTGCCCTGCCTCCCTCACCAGACCTGAAGCTAGCTGGGAGAAGCCATATTGTTTATTTATATTTTCAAAGGTAAGTAGAGGACTCCAGCCTTTGCCTCCTGTGCACGCCCCATCAATTGCCAGGGCCACCTCACCACCCAAGAATGAGGACCACAGCATTTCAGAAGCATTTCTTCCCCACCACGCAAGCTATGTAACAAGGAGAAGTCCTGAATATTGAAAACTCGAGCCATTCCAACCACCCATGAGAAGTGAGCCAGGCCTCAGTAGCTTGTACCCACCTCCACTATGATTGAGAGGTGAGCTGGGCTCTAGCAGGCAGGGCTGCATGCTTCCACTTGCAATGCACAGACACATAGCAGCTCATAACAGAGGGAAACCACACCACAAGAAAATCTCCATAGATTAGCGGTGCAGTTTGTTAAGCAAGGCGATATAACCCAAAATACACCAGAGACTAACACAGAGGCGTCCCACAACTGTGACGAAAAGTATGGGTCACATCAACAGAAGTGAACAACCTCCTCTGACCAAAAAACCAGAGTAAAGCTACAAAGCCTCATGGGGGCCTTACACTGGATACCTCCTCCAGCCCCAGAATACTGAACAGAGCACCTAGGCCACAGCCAGCACCACACCTCTTGGAACTCACTAAAAGTACAGATGTCCCACTAAATCACAAAGACAAGAATAAAAGAGAAAAGCAACTAGGAAAAACAAAAAGAATAAGTGCACAAATGCCCAAAAACAAAGGGAATAGGAACAACTCTAAGTAAGAATAAGGAAGACACTATGAGTCCCTCAAAGGAACACTACAACTCTTCCATAATAGAAGGTGAAGATGAAGAAATCGAGGATATGCCAGAAAGGGAATTCAGAAAATTAATCATCAGATTACTTAGAAAAAAAATCAGAAGCAAATTCACAGTCTAAATGAAAAGTATACCCAAGAAACTGAGATATTAAAGAGAAGTTAGAATGAAATACTAAAAATGAAAAATTCAATAGGTCAAATAAAAAATGCAGTAGAAAGCCTTAACAAAAGAATAGGTAAGATAAAAGAAAGAATATCAGAACTAGAAGATAAATTGCTGGAAATATTACAGCCAAACCAAAATAAAAATAAAAATAAAAAAGAAGAAGAAGAAATCAGAAAACTAAAAAACACACGTTGGGATGTACAAGATACCATCAAATGACCCAACATATGGATCCTAGGAGTTCTGGAAGGTTTGGAAAGAGAGAAAGGGCAGAAGGCCTTCTTATTGAAATAATAACAGAAAACTTCCCCAATCAGGAGAAAGAGACATCCAATTATAGGAAGTACACAGAACTCCCAATAGACACGACCAAAAAATATCTTCACCATGACACACTAGAAAAACTATCCATAGTAAAGCATAAAGAAAAGATCTTAAAATGTGCATGAGAGAAATGCCAAATCACATTCAGAGGAAACACAATTAGACTCACTGCAGACTTCTCATCAGAAACCCTACAGGTAAGGAGAGAAAGGCAAGATATATTCCAAGTCTTAAGAGAAAAAAACTTTCAATCCAGAATATTGTACGCTGCAAAGCTCTCATTTATGAATGAAGGGGAAATAAAGATCTTCCACATCAAACAGAAATTCAAAAAATTTGTAACTACTCACCTAGCCCTACAAAAGATGTTCAAGGGTACACAT